TATTTCTCTTGTTTGAATAATACAAAAAAAAAAAAAACAACAACATACAAACAAAAAAAGACACAAACAAACAAAAAAAAAAAAATAAGAAAAGGAAAAGCAAAAAGAAAAAAAAGAAAATGAAAAAAAAACGGAAGAGAAGATGAAAATTCTGAAGATCAGTCTTAACTAGCGAGGCATTGGATTATTATTTTATTTGGGTGGCCGCAGAGGAACCCCTCTTTATACGAACGGACGCCGCTATTTTCTTATTTTTTATTTTTCTCGAGACAATTGTCACGAGTGCAAGCTCTTCACTGGCAGGAACACCTTAAGGGGATTTTTTTCTATCTTCTCTCTCTCTCTTTTTATCTTTTTCTTCTCTCTCTTCTCATTTCTCTTTTTCTGCACTCATCACAAGCCGGAAGACATCTAGGCCCCCCCGAAAACGAGGGCCCCTTCCACGGACGATACGCACCGACGACCACTAGCCGAGACCGCAGTAACACACCACCACACACATAACAACTCACCGTACTCACACTTCACAAAACCCCACCACCACAAGCGCCCCCTATCCACTCCACACTTCAGAGAAGCCAGATTCCGCGCACAAAGTGCGCACATCACATAGCCACCAACACGCAAGATCTCACAGCACCACCCCGCGAGCATTACCGATCACCACACCCAAAACCACAACGCACACAACCCCAAACGCTCACCCTAGCACGTACACACCGCTCACTAACACAACCCCCACGAGTAACCCGCTCCACCCTACCTCACCAAAGACACCCATAACCGACAAAGAGACCCTGCACCAAACACAATACCAACGGCACACACAACCGCCGACTACAGGCCACCACATGCACGACCCCCAAACCCACAGCCCGACCCCACTCTTACGACGACGACAGACGCCCAGCCGAACACCACCGCACCCCCCGACCACCCCTGAGCCCCTCGAATAGTAAGCCACCCCAGGCCCACCAGACACGGACACCACGACCTGCACACCATCCAGTACCTCGTGGCGGGTCTATTATTTATAACCTTTTTGTTGGCAGATCAACCTACTGGTATTACGTGAAATTTAGAAGCCTATTGAATCGATTATTTTATAGTGATGGGGAACGTGGCGTGTTACTTTGTATGTATTTCGTTTGACAGATCTGCCATCAGAAACCTGTCGTATATATAATTATATATAATATATATAATATATATATTAATATATATATTATATATATACTTATATAATAATATATATGATAATATATATAATATATTATATATATTATATGTATATATATATATATATATATATATAATTATAATATATATATATTATGTATGTTATGTGTGTGTATGTATGTTATATATATACATATATTGCGGTATAATAAATGTATATATGATATGTTTATATATATATATATATATATATATATTATATATATATATATATATATATATATATAGAGAGAGGAGAGAGAGAGAGAGAGAGAGATAAAGAGAGCAGGGAGAGGATGAGTCGAGATGAGAGAAGAGCAAGACCGACAGACACAAGGCACGAGATTAGAGAGAGAGGACAGACAGAAAGAGAGAGAGAAGAGAGATTAGTTTTAGATTTCTAATATTAGATTATGGACTTAGGTATTTTATAGATATGATATATAAGCCCAGAGAAAGAGATAGATAGAGCTATATATATATATATATATGAAATATATATATATATATATATATATATATTATGTAACTATATATATATTAATATCATATATATATATATATATGTATGTAATATATACACTAGTGTATATATGTGTGTGTGTGGGTCACCTAAAAATCCCACCACAACTTTTAGACTCTACACATCTATTACACTACACAACCAATTTCTGTGCGCGATGGCATGATGAACTTTGCATCTCTCTCCTCTCTCTCTCTTGTCTCTCTCTCTCTCTCTCTCTTCTCTCTACTCTCTCTCTTCCTCTCTCTCTCTCTCTCTCTCTCTCTCTCTCTTCTCTCTCGCCTCTCTCTCTCTCTTCTCTCTCTCTCTCTCTCTCTCAGTCTCTCTCTCTTCTCTTCTCTCTCTCTCTCCCTCTCTCAATACCTCTCTTCTCTCTCGCTCTCTCTCGTCTTTCCTATGTGTGTCTTATGTTGTAGTGTGGTAGTGTGTTTCCGATATGTTAATGTGGTACATTCCTTTCTCTCTAATAGATATCTATTTTCAGGATATTATAACTCTTTTTCAGGTCATTAGTGAAGGGAAGGAGAAGAGAGAAGAATTCAGATTTTTGCATTCAACATTTTTTTATTAGATACTCCAGATATACTTAATTCGAACAGACAACAATTGGGCAGCAACCATCCCATGCGCTGCAGTGACCGACCCCTAGTGCATCCTGCAATGAGAGAGAATTATATATGTATGAATACGTTTTTTTACTGGTAAATTCTGCATTTTGAGTTTATCTACTGAAAAACGAATGATCCATAATATTATCTTTTTTTTTTAGCTCAAAAACCAAATGTTTTTCCTAATTTCTCTTCATTAAAACTTACCTTTTTTAAAACCATGTCTCAGGATATATAAATCCGCAACCACGAGTATGATATCAACTATAACAGTGGATCGACAGCGTAGCGCACATAGCCAACACGGATTAAAATAAAAAAAAAAACAAAGCAAACGCCTCCTTTCTGTAAGCAGGCACTTGCTTCCCTGTCTCACCCAGCCATTCACCAGAGCAAAAAAAAATAAACATACTAACTATATCACAATTACAGAAGATAGCCTAGGAAAAAAAGCGCTCGTTGCCACAGAAGCTTATAAGCCGTGAAAAAAAAGAAAAAAAGAAAGAAAAAAAAATAGCTCGAATCATCTGCCTATGATTCGAAAATGAATGGGAATCCTATAATAGTAATTTTCGCGATGCAATTGATATCCACTATCCTCGCTCATATTCAAACTTAGTACACTGAATAAGCATGTTGAAGTACGTGTTTTTCAACATTTTTTACCCAGCTGGTCCAAGTGGTGAAAAAGAAAGCAACATGCGATCCCAGCTATCAAACTCATTTTTATCTATGCGCTATGGTTTCATCCATCGCTACGTTTTTTCTGATTGAGGTACCACTGTAGGTAGATCTACATGCAGAACATATGTTAGCACCTTGTCGACACTGCACCAGACCAGGAATCTACAACTCTCGAAGGTGTTGTGTTGTGTGAATAGTCTGACATTCGCGAGACCAGAACGCTGGAAGACGAGATAAAGCGAACTGGACCCAATTACCCCAACGACGCCCACGCACAAGCGAGTACGCATGAGACCGCAGAGTAAGAGATGATACACATAATTGACCTCAGAAGACAAGAGGCGAGTCAAGCCAAAAGATCAGGAGATTCGAGACGACGACGAGAAGAGATCGACACATACAGACAGACGACTACAGAGCTAGGGACAAGTTAGAAGAGCAAGAGACAGACTAGGAAGGACAATCAGAGCAAGAGAGAGAGAAAGAGAGAGAGAGAGAAGAAACACGGAAGAGGAGCGAGACGAGAGAGAGTTTGTGTATAACATCACGATGATTAGATGCAGAGAAGAGAGAGAGAGAGTCGCTGTGATGTAGTGTGTGAGCACAGAGACGATGAGATGATGTGAGACCGAGAGAGTGTATGTGTGTGTGGTTTGAGGAGAGAGGAGAAGGAGAAGGAGCGAGAGAGAGAAGAGAGAGAGAGAGACAGAGAGAGAGAGATAGAGAGAGAGAGAGAGAGAGAGAGAGAGAGAGAGAGAGAGAGAAAGAGAAAGGAGAGAGAGAGAAGAGAGAGAGAGGGAGAGAGAGAGTATGTTGTGTTGATGTGTGTGTGTGTGAGAGAGAGAGAGAGAAGAGAGAGTATGCGTGAGAGTGTGTGAGTGAGTGAGTGAGTGAGTGAGTGTGTGTGTGTGTGTGTGTGAGTATGTGTATGTGTATGTGTTGTGTGTGTGTGTGTGTGTGTGGTGTGGTGTGTGTGTGTGTGTGTGTGTGTGTGTGTGTGTGTGGTGTGTGTGTGTGTGTGTGTGTGTGTGTGTGTGGAAATAAATACAATACAGCGTGCGTGTTAGTATCTAAAAAATAATGATGTCCCGTCGTGTTCATTTTTTTTTTTTTTTTTTTGGAAGAAAGTGAACTTTTCCAGCAACTTTCCCAGCTTTACCTTTTACATTAGATAATCATTTTGTATGATACCAATGGGGTATGGCGTGGACTTCCTGTTCCACCTGGGGAGCAGATAATCGGATTTGAAAAAATACGAACTCTACAAGCAAAGATCCCCCGCAAAGATCCCCGCATATCCGATTTCATCAAGAAACCCGTGGGTATAATGATGACATGGGCAATTTCCCGATCGAATGACTCTGGGTTTGATGATGAAAAGAGAAAAAAAAAATGCACCAAGATACTCATTAGTTCGTTCACTTTCTTTGCAAATAAGAAGGTTAACGTGAGTATCTCATTTTCAACATTTCCATGCACAACATCGGTGCAACTGGAAAAGAAGAAGGAGGGCATATATTCAATGAGTAATAGGTTAATGTTGAAAATGCAGTTTGATTTCTATTATATGTGTCATTAGAGGAATGGTTTATTAGTAATTGTAAATGTATACAGACACTATTGTGATTTTTCGCAATATTTAAAATCACTTGCCACTTTATCAGAATTACAGAGTTATAATCATCAACGCAAGAAAGTGTTAACTTACACATAAAGAAGAAATTACAGAATCATCATCGTAATAATTGATACCGAAAATTAATAATTACTGCTCTCTATTTCCAAATGAATATCAATTATATCACCCCGACCATCTTAACCACAGTTATTTTAACACCGTGTCACACAGTCACCAACAACACGACCATTAATACCACACAACCACACCGTAGTACCATCAATCACACACACAAACCACCTGTAACTCAACAACACACAACCCACGTGACCTTAAACAGCTGACTGAC